CCCACAAGAACGCTGAGTTGTGTTGTTCCTGTTGGGGATTAAAGATATGCTAGAAAGAATGAAAAATTCAGTCATTGGCAGCCAGCTGTCAGGATGTTTAAATTAGATGGAGCGATTGATGAAGAACCCTTAGCACATCAAATTATTTAAGGCCTGTAACCGATATCTGACCTACTCGCATCTTCAAAGCTTAAATAGTAAGTTTGGTATTAAAACCAACCAAACAATACAGTAATTTCTCTTAGTGCAAGTCAGAGTAGTCTTTCCAGCCTTCCAGGAGGTTTCACAGCTGCGCAGCCTTCCTCTCAAGCTTGCAGAGGGGGCGTCATGCTCAGCCAGAGGCACGCTATCTCCTCAGCTGGAGTCCGTCAGCTTTTGTCCTTGGGTTGCAGAGATGGTATCTGTGTGAAGGCCTAACACAGTGCCTGTCAAAGTGAAATAAAATGCTCCCAGTGATACGGCCATCGGGCTCAAAAGCAGCTGAGATTTTGGGGCATAACATTGTGTTCCCGTAGAAGCCACAGCGATAACCCGCAAAATGGGCAGAGTTTTAGGGGAACTGCAGCACCCTTTGCCAGAGCTTTCTTACAGTCTCAAACTCAGGCACGCTCCTGCCTCCATCAATGTTCTGATGGATATTTGCGAGTCCCCAGAGCGTTTGAATTTGCTGTATGGCAACTGGAAGATGTATGTCCGTAGTGTCTCTGTGGATACATATACAAATCAGGCTGACGTGCATAGGTTATTTATGTTGCACGCACGGAGCGCAGTGAGACTCCATCACCGGCAGCAGCTCGGGCAGCGGCTGCGTTCCCGGGAGGTGAGGCCGACAGGCTGTTTTCATGTTGGGTACAGTAGATAGAAATATGGATGAGTTGGGATAAGCTTTATTTTTAAAGAACAAGAGTTTGCTAACTCCCATCATAATCTGCCTAGGATATGGTGTATTTAAGTGATTTTACTTTGATAATGCTGTAAGCTGGTCTTTGATAATTGCTTTCTGTAATTGGAACAAATTTATGATTATGCTAATTCATCTCCTGCCACCCAATATGTAGTAGCTGAGTTAATCCATATCTGCCCCTGCATTTCTTTTGTAGATCATTACATGATTAGCCTTTGTTAGAAATTGATGGGGGTGTTTTAATTCTGAGCAGATTTAATTTCAGGGGAAAAAAAATCAGGTATCTTTACATAAGCTTATGACATATTATAGCAGTTTTTAAGTCTAGTTCAAGATAGAAACATTTAAGATCTTCAGACAGACCAATTCTTAAAGAGAAATTTATTTCGTTTTGTTCCAAGCATCTATATGATCACTGATGATAAAGTGAGGGAAGTTCAATGCCAGTGAGTTTTGAGCCTCCTCTTAGGCATTGCAGGCTGGCAGTTCAGAACACCAGGCCTCATTTCAGGATGGAGACATTGGGGTTTCTCTGTCGCCTGTATTCGCTTGGTTGGTTTGTGTTTTTGCTGAATTTCTGCACAGGTTGCATCACTGCAAGTAACAACAACCTTTTGTCATCATGACTCCTTTAAATTTATCAGTTTATTCTATAAATTCATCCCTAAATTCTCCATCTTTGAAAGCATTTTTCTGCTGTGAAGGAGTTTGAGTAAGTTTGGTTCTTCTTCAAGGGAGGGGGAGGCTGGAATTAGAGAGGAGCATTCGCAGTGCCATCAAGCCTCCCGATATGCAAAAGGCAATGCGTGCCCCCACTTGCACATCCTCACTTGAGCGCACATCTCTCAACACTGCCATGGTTATGTTGCGTCTGTTTAATGTTCTCCCTTCGCTGCGATCATCGTTCTTTTAAATGCTTTGCTTTAGTGTCAGTGTTTTTCATTCACCAAGCCTTGCCGTCCCAGGCTCAGTAACGGGTCAGTGTGCACTCCCTCAGGAAAAGCTGTCTCCAGGAACAGCCCCAAGAGCTAGCGTAACAGTGGGGAGGGCCTTGAACCCCCTGGGCCCCCCAGCACCACCTGCAACAGCCCCTGACCTGATGAGAGTCAGAATGCAAAATCTATAAATACACTTGTGAAACAATGAACTCCAGTAACACTAGGGTCATTTCTTTGAACGTTACTGTGTTTGTCATTACACTGCGCATAAAGTGAGTTTAATTCTGACTGCGACCATTGAATTTCTGTCACTTGATTTATGCTAGTGCTGCTGTTCCATAATTTAAATTGCATTCCTAGTTTTTTGCTGAAACCCCCTTATAATTAGCATTAAAGTTAACTGCAGAAGGGAAACTGAAGAGTGAATGGATTATTTGCTTGTTCCCCATCTTACTCAGACCAAAGGAGAATGCAGTCCATGAAGATCTGCAATACATACTTTCAGAGAGAGATTATTACGGGAAGAGTTCAGGATTACTGACTTAGGCTCTTTGGGTCTGCTCCAGAGCGGTGCCTGGCCCTCTGCGGCCGGCACAGGTGAGCGCGTCGGCCGTCTCCGGAGCTGGGGGATGAGAGGGAGTGAGGGGAGAGCTAGCCATGTGATTTCCTGGGATGCTTCCAGCAACGGAAACTAGGGTGCCGAAGCTACTGGGTGTGTGAAGGTCGTGACAAAGCATGACTGCTTCTCCTAACAATACTAAGGAAAGCAAATTGAGGGAGTGAGGCTTTTGGCAGAAAGTCTCCTCTGGGTTTCCCTAACTGTACCTGCGCCAGGCACTGCCTCCTTGGAGCGCTGGGGGCATCTCTTAGAACCTCGCTGCCTTGAAACTTCACTGTAAGTGTTTCTTCTGATGTGCACGGCAGTGTACAAAGTCACATGGTCCCAAAAATCTAATTTAAACTTTTGTAAAGGAGATTGTTTAAAAAATTTAAAACAAAAAAGTGAAGATTTGAGAGGAAAACCAAAACAAAGCAAGGTTCTGACAGAGCTTTATAAGAACGCAGAAAGAGACAGCTGCATCTTGAATGCTTAATGGCAGCTTTGATGGTGACATTCAGTCTTTGTTACCATTTTTGGTTAACTGCAGTTTGAGGAAAAGAGTATATAGAGCTGAAATCATTTAACTACTTTTATGTATGAAATGTACAATATACTTCATACTTGGGTAATGCCTCTTTTGACAGATGTGTAAAATAATCACTATTTTTAATTCCATAGTCACCACGTAGGACAACAGTGCCACAGACCTAGATTCTTCTCCAGGTGAGCTCCCAGCTGAGTGCTGTGGTGCGGGGACAGGAGGAGCGTTGGATGCGGCAGCCGCACACCTTCTGTCCCCAGCTCACCAAAATGACGGATGCTACTGGAAAGGGAACCTGCTGTCTGGCATGACATCTAATTGGCTTTGATGGTCAGCTTTGGCAGATTTGTTTATAAACTGGAAAATCTACAAATTGCAGACCATCTGCGCAGAACAGTGTGCTAATGAATGCCTGTAGCTAGCAAATCCATAAGCTCGTTACCACAAAGTTCCAAGTCCTTCCACAACTTCCTAAACGAGGTTATTCATCTGAACTGAGATAGGAGGGTGTGTGACTTCAGGGTACAGCCATATCTCCTTCAGGTCTAGAAGAGCTATTAAAATAACTCACATTTATTCAGTCTTTTAATAGAATCTGTTGATTCTGCTCCTATTTTTAGTTTTTCACTTCTGTAACAGCAGCTTACTATGCCTTACCTGTTTTTTTTAATGTTTCAAGTAGAGAAATGCCTTGCAGATAATTCCTGGGTCTACTCAGAGATATGTTGGTTGGAGAACTAGAGAAGATGTGTTGAAATACATTATACATAGCATTTCACAGTGTTTATGTACCTTGACAACAAATACTAACGGTCTCTGGTTTAAGAACTGGGAATCTGTTACGATGACTTACCTCTTCCACTGTGTGTGATGTCAAAAGATTCATCCTTCTGTTTCTCTCTCAAAAAAAGTGGAACTAATAATACTTCTTATGTGTCATCCCAATCTATTGCAAAGCTTAACTGATCATTGTGCAATTGTTTGAACGTGTAAAGCACTGTATATCAAGAGTAGTATTTCAAAATATTTCTCATTCTCTCTCTGTTGAGATTTTCTTCCATATTCTTGAATAAAAATCAGCCTTTCTAAGATGTTAACCCATAGCGCCTTCCTCTGGGGGAAAGGGGGGGAAGTGGCAATCATCAGCTGGCTTTCACTTGGACTGCTGATCTCCATTGGTCATGTCTTTCTGCTCCTTGAGTCAAAGGAAGTATTTCCCCATCAGATTAATGAGGTCGTTAGCCCAAGGCATGAGGTGCCTTTGTTTGGCTTTGCAGGTTTACAGACTTCTTCCTGTTTTTTTCATTCCCCTAAGGAAGCCAAAAGGGCTCTCCTAAAGAGGACAATAATGGAATAGTTACAATAAAAAGAAAATACACAGAATAGATTCAAGAACAAATATAGAGGCAATAATAAAATGCAGTTATTTAAGAAAATGATTTCAGGTTCAAGCTTTAATACTTATGTTGAAAAGGAGGAGGAGGTAAATGAAATATATTCAACGAGAATGATCCAGTATTTTTTTATCATTGCTTCTTGATTCCTTGTATTGAATATTAAAGCCTCCTAACTACCTACCACACAAGGAAAAGTGTGATTAATTGTTCTCCTCCTTTTTTTTTTCCCTGTCCTCCTCTTCTTCATCTTTCCTTCCTTTTCTCCCAGTAGAACAAAAACTGCTTTTCCCTTGCAATCCACACCCTTGCAACTCTGAACGAGGTCTCTACCATTTTCTTTTTGTTCTTTTATCATTTATTATTTTATTATGTCATAGCATTTCATTTGCTGTGCCTCTGTTAAAAAGCTCTTCTTCAGAATAGGAATAGTTTCTTTTCTGAATCTGTGAACGTCTACGTTTCTGGGAATCTCACCCTAGCTTCATTTTTATCTTAATGTTTATACTGAAGATCACAATGACATTTATTACTGAAATCATTGAAATATAATTTTGCAGATTTCCTGCTTCCATCTTTTTTTTTCCTACTCCATGTTCTTCTCTGCTCCATCCCCCTCCAGGTGGAATGGCTGAAGAATGAGGAGCCCATAGATTCCAACCTGGACGAGAACATTGACACCAGAGCAGACCACAACCTCATCATTCGACAGGCGCGTCTCTCGGACTCTGGGAACTACACCTGCATGGCTGCCAACATTGTTGCCAAGAGAAGGAGCATGTCTGCGACAGTTGTGGTGTATGGTCAGTGAAAACGGGATAATTATGGAAAGACTTAGATGTGTGTGCTTTTATTGCTGGAGTACTTTACGTTTTTAACATACAACTGGTTCTAAATCAAACAGCTGACCTCCTTCCTGTTACGATGGATTTCAGTTCTGCTGTTCAAGGCTGAGACCGTGCCTGCTTTTAGAGTGGTTCGAGTTACGGGGGTTTTGTTTGTGCGGGATTCCCAGAAGCTATGTCAATAATAACAATCCTTGCTCATGATATTAAGAAGATCCAGTTGTAAGCTAAACCACATAAATAAGCCTTGCCTGTATCCGGAAACCCAGAAGCACGTGCCTAGGGAGGTACATAAAGGGCTGCCTTGGCTGGATCTGTGGTACTGCAGCGTCCCAGCACTACCTAGTGCATCTAGATGTTACGCAGCAAAGGACAAAAGAGCAGAACCATTCATTTGTTGCCATCCTCTGTTGGTCTCCATGTTTATTACCACATGAGACATTTTACTGGTGGAGGCAGAGCATTTCTAAATCACCCTTTTTAAAATAAAGAAGTCTTGTTTATGATTTAAGCAAAGCGTATGTTATGAGAATCGGGATGCCTGCTTTTACCTCCCTCCCAGATTCTATCAGTCATTGCACTTCTCAGCATATTGCTGTTCCAACCCAAACATTTGTGTTCTTTGACACCATGGCCTTTACATAGTTGTGTGCTGGTAGGTAGCAATGCTCCTACTTCAGCTTGGAGTTCACGTGTAGAATGTAAAAACAAAATTATGCCTTTGAGTGGAGTGATCTGATCAGATTTGTTGTTTGATGTCTCTCAGCACACCTACTGCAACCTCAAGCATGTTTGTGTTTTGCAGTTAATGGCGGCTGGTCGTCATGGACTGAGTGGTCAAACTGTAATGCACGGTGTGGCCGGGGCTGGCAGAAGCGATCACGGACCTGTACCAACCCCGCTCCACTCAATGGAGGTGCATTTTGTGAAGGAATGTCAGTGCAGAAAATTACCTGCACTTCTCTTTGCCCTGGTGAGATATGCACTGTCTACTACGGAATAACTTTGGATGTCACATTTACAGGAGAGCACTTGCAGTCGGAAATGCCAGGTGGACAGTTGTGCTTTGAAAGCCCCCTGAGGTCAAAAAGGACATTGGAAATACTTGCATCCTTGTTTAGACTGCAGCTCAGAACCTCGTGTAAGGTCTGAGCAGTGGTCACAAGCACCTGTGGCCTGGTCTGCCAGGTCTGTCAGTGCTTTAACTTGCACTGAAGCTAACTCACTACTCGCTATCAAAACAGCAGCTGGTTCAGTATGAAAAATCATGTAAGTGGGTGGGGGTATAGGGAAAGGGGAGGTGATGTCAGTAACGCTAGAAACACAGAAACCGAAGCAGAGGACTTCACTTAAAAGTATTATTTACCTTGTAAAAGTTTGCTTTCAAGTGTATTAACATTTTGAAATTGAGCTTATGCTGTACACGGAGCATGGTGTTACATCCCTGGACACATTTCCTCATTTGTTCACCGGAAACCTCCCTTACCTGGTTCTGGCATTGGTGTTTCACATATATAGCTGAAGAAAGTTGATAGGATTGTAAGAATGTATGCTTTAAGAGACTATGTTTGCCTGGGGTCGCAGCATCACCTGCCTGGATTCTGGCAAACCTCTCTTCTACCTTTTATTAGTTTTTACATACAGGAAGTCCTGAACTGGCATTTAAAGAACTTAATACTATTTTTATATGTCTCTGTTCATCTGACTGTCCTTCAACCTGATTTATGCGTGAAAAAGAAAGGGAAGTGTGGATACCCTTCTCGCGTGGGACAGGGTCAGAGACAGCTATCAATCAGTCAGCAAAGCAACATATTGATCCGTTGTCTGGCTCGGGGCATTGGCCAGAAGGCTGCAAGGCCAGCTATGCTCTTTTTGTAAATGTCAGCACCATTTCTCTGGTAGGAGAATGTGTGGCCTCTCCACATCAGCCTGTTTGAAGGCAGAATTTGAATTAGAAGCTGATAGCTAGGTGACAAGGGAAATGTTTCCTCCTGCACTTTTAATTGACGATTTTTGCAGAATGTTATATACTGGGGCTGTTTTAAAAGCTTCCATATTGCACGCTTGAGGTGGTACATTCTAATGCTGGCTTTTAACTTCACACCTGATAAAACTGTATTTATTTCTCCTGAGAATTGTACTTTGTTTTACTTGCTGTGACCTGAAGAGAGATACGAAATAAGTATTCTTGGTAGGACCTCTGAACTACACCAGTCTGATATGCAGTGACGGTGCTTGTTTTCCTTCCTCCCCACTCAGTGGATGGAAACTGGGAGACGTGGAGCGAGTGGTCCGTGTGCAGCCCAGAATGCGAGCACCTGAGGGTTCGGGAGTGTATCGCACCGCCTCCGAGAAACGGAGGAAAGTACTGCGAGGGCTTGAGTCAAGAGTCAGAGAACTGCACTGAAGGGCTTTGCATTCAAGGTGAGTAGCGGTGGGCACTGCACTGGATTTGGGAGGCGTGGCCCAACACGTGTACTGTAACCCGTGTCAGTGGGACTCTTCTGGCTGAAGTATTACTGTGAAAAACCAGGTTGTTTTCAGAGGGTTGCATATGTGAAGCTTGAAATCCACAGTGATTTCTGAGTCACTGGATTTGTGTAGCACATACTTTACCTATTAATTATCAGATGATCCTGAAAATCCAAATAAAGGTTTTTGCAATGTGTAATTATGACCACCTGCCACAACAGATTTCACAGAGTGTACTACTTGGCCTTCTAGCTTCTTCTTGCAAGTAAATTGGCAAAGCACCAACATGAATACTCTTGGTGCAAGAGCTGTTTAAGGTCAAAGTTGACACCGTTTGTTGCCTTAAACACAGAAGTTAAATAAAGGCAAATCTAGTCTATGCTGAGTTCACTGTGAAAGGATTTGGCCTTCATAAATGTCTGGAAAGCATCTGGCATTCTGTAGTTGCTACTATCAACAAACAACTAGGAGCCCAGAAGGTGAGGCCTGCAGCTGCAGAGCTGCAGAAGGCCCGCACAGTCTCCAAACACAGAAGAAATTCACAACTTCATTCCTACGGGCAGTGCGGCCCCCTGGCCATGAAGCGGCCCTGTCACCTCCCCGCTTTCCAGCAAGGAAGTGGCAGCCACGGGAGCCATCGGGAGCGCTAGGGCTGAAAGATGCAAACTGCAATAAGCCTACTTTTAATTTTAGATTTAAATAGTCATCTTTCTTTGTTTCTGTGGCACTGCATTACTCTTCCTTCTTGATCTTTTGCATATATGTGTTCATGTTATGCCTATCAGTCATTTTCTTCTTCTACCGTGATGCACGCAACAGAAGGAACATGGCTGTAAATCACAGCCCTGGGCCGTGCTCACAACGTGTACGTGCCTACGGCCTTCCCCCTGTGCACCTTCTAGTACTGGTTGGCAGTTTCAGAGAGAAAGAAACAGCCACTGTGCCCAACCAGTTCTTCAATGAAGTACATCTGGTGAGATGCAGAGAATAATCTTCTAAACAAAATGAAGTCCCTTTTTTGCCCCAAGGTTTTGGTTATTTCTTAATGGCAGATAGCATCCTGTATATTTACTCAGGTTTCAGAAATACATATACCTCAGCTGAGACATCAAAAAAATTTTGTGTGGTTTTGGAGGGAGGGAATACCCAGCAGTCTTTCTGTAAGTCTCTAACTACTTTCCAGGGTTACAGAAAGCTCTCCAGTTCCAAGGCGTCAGGCGTCAGCTTCAGTGTTTAAAAGGGCATAAATGAAATTTAGTTTTTTCCTGCCCCATGTTTCAGAAAAGAATAACTAGTGAGAATTTGTGAGCACTCCATTCAGCTTTTGAGGGCCAATGTGGTGATCAGATGACGTTTTCTGAGGTCTTTCTCCTTCCTATACATTAAATGAATGCCCTTCCCTGCAGATGGCTTGATAAATCCAGAATCCATTCATGTGTGCAGATCAGCGTATCCACTGGAAGACTGGGGGATGCATTGAAAGGAGCATGAAAAGATGCAGCTGAGGTCTGTGCACTCAGCGTTATTGGTAACAGTCATGAGTTGACTAACTATCTAGTTGTCTCCTGTGCTTTTCCCCAGAGTTAATAAAAGGTCGCCCTATTCAGGTTACTGCTTCCAAGAAAAGCCTTAACGACGCTGCGAGGTGGTAAAGATTACCTGTCCTACTGTGAGAATAATAGCCTTTCGTATTGTGCAGTTACGCGTCAGTCCTGCGCGCCATCTTCCATGCAGGTAGAGGAACAAATATGGTATTCGGCTTATTTTGGTAGTCTGGAAGGAGCACGTGGCCCACGGAAGGGATACGGTTGTTAAGCACTGAGAGTCATGATACACATTTTACTTGATGGCGGTGGCTTCGTTCCATGGGGGAAATCACTGCAGCTCCTCGAGCCGTTGTAGCACAGTTGGTTTCAGGGACAGACTGGGCCTCTGAGCACTGTTGTATCGACCACAAGGTATTGTATCACACGGGCTTTTGTTGCTGGCTTCTCCAACTGTTAATTTCTCCTTCCGTAGCCTCTCTCTCTCCGAGGAGCTCATCCAGACACTGTTTACAGGCAGGTTTTAGAATGTCCCTGTTGCACTCTATACAGTGGTGAATCGTCTCTTTAATATCAGCACGAGTCCTTCTCAGGTGTCACAGAAGTGCGAAAGGCTGGTGCTGTGCTTGCCAGCTGCCTTTCGAGGACTGCCTCCGATACTGCTAATTCCGGGAGGGCGTTTTCAGGAACCATTCTTAGGATAAAGCCCTCTGAAGGTTTTTGTATGAACAAAGGTTTCACATACTGGTCAAATGAAATGTGGTACCGCACATGGAGGAGAAGGGACTGGGTGTTTGGAGTTCTGCGCACAGACACGTTACCAGTGCAATGTTGGATTTTTTTAAATTTTTTTAATGTGTCTGTGTTCCCTAGAACAAGACTGTTTTTCATAGTAAGAAATATAAAAGCTGCCTTGTAAAATGCTCAAGGGTGAACTCTGTACACGTTGGTGCATTTGTTCAGTGTTCTGGGCCTTTAGTGCTTTGTTAGTGACTGTGTTCTCTTAATGAGCAACCCTTACCCTCAGGACAGCTCACCAGAGCTGAGCCCCGAGTAAGGCATCAGCATCGAAATCTGTATGGCCTGCAGCTTTAGTGAGAAGCTTGTGTGCCAGTTCCTTCAAGAGAAAGAGAAGGGGGTAGGATGTCAGCTGGTCCAACCAGTTCACGGCATCTCAGAGGGGGGCATGAGACAGGGGAGGGGCTGGCTTGTTCCAGCAGATCCAAATGCAGTAGTTTGGGCTGTGGAAAATACAGCCGATTGCCTTCTGAAAGGTCCTGCAAAGAAACTTCACTAGGAGTTGAAAACAAACACTTCAGGCTGTAAGGATCCAGTTGCCAATTCACCTTCCTTCTTGGGAAGTTTAAAAAACGAAGAAAGAAGAAAAAAAAGACATCTCATGACAGTCAATGACAGTCATGTCACTGATTAGAGATGTGTCTATCATACAGCCAGAGTATTTATTTTTTCTGTTATTAAATTTAATGCCTGTAAAAGATGTCATTCTGACAACCCGGGAGACGTGGGTTTGCTGTAATCCATAGAACAGGTTACAACAAAGTATAGCTTCCCTGCTGTCGCTTTACTTAAGCTCCTCTGTTAGGGTGCCCTGTTACAAACTCCAGCAGCAAGCATTGGGGGAAAGCCCACACCACCGCGTTACTCCACAGATGGCTACTGGAATAGTTACAACTACCTTAGTTTTAATAATTACCTGAATTATTATTTCTGTTGTCTGTCATGTGCTTTGTATAAACTCAAGCTCTTTGGATCAGGTACTGTCCCTCTGCTGTATGTTTGTACAGCCACTGGTGCAAAGAATATTATTGTTAACGAACCACTAACTTACCTGACTAATGGCGATGCAGTAAAAAGGAAAAATGCGTCAACAAGTTGAAATCAGTTGAACTGGCATAGGAGTTCATCATCACCTTTTCAGAAGAATTTTAGTTTTTCTTTGCTGTGACATTTAGAGTAACTTTACAGAGTTTTAAGAACTTGTAACTATCTCACACAACCATGTGCAAACAGAACTGAAGTAAGCAGTGTATGCCTGAAAACAAATGTCTGGAATAGCAAAAGCTTTCTCTTTCAGAAGCAAATCACTTTTTTACACATGGGACATAAAGCACTCTTAATAGACTTAAAGTGTTCTTAATACAGTAGCATAAAGAACTTGCCTTTAAAATAAATAAATGGATCATTATGGGTAAAAAGATACAAAATGCATTTTTTAAAAATATGAGTAAATTTTGTACAGATGTAATCAACTTAGTGTCAGCTGTGAAACACAAAGTCTGTAAAATACAACTTTGATGTTGAAAATGAACTATCAAAATCATTTTACAAAGGATAAGTGGCATAAGTAATAAAACCCAAATTTGAGGATTGAAATGAAAAGCCATTTAAAATCTAAGCCTACTAGGGATGCACATGTTGACATCAAAGCAATACTATTTAAAATAAACAAAATTAAATTCTCAGCTTCTGCTGCCTCACTGCAGGGCAGGGGGAGATGTGTAGCTGCTGGATTTTCTGTGCCAACATTGGGTAAAGTATTTCTGTTCCTTCGTAAGGTGAGGTGGGAGTTAGGGAAACTGTGAACTAACAGCAACACTCTAAAATTAATTCAAAGACCAATGTAATGGAAGATTTCTCTCTGCTGCACACACCAGCAGTTTTTCACTTAGTATTGGGATCAGAAATTGATCTGCGGGTATTTTATGGGGGAAAAAAAATCTACTCTGGCGTAATTTGGAGTCAGGTAGGTTGTCAGTATTATCCTTCATGTGTATCAGCACTTCAGTGGACCAGTGAGCTACGTGGGAACAGAGGAAGCTGGCACCTGGTGATGTGAAAGCTGTTAGTGCTGGGTGCTGCGGGGAGCTGAGCTCAGCTCTGGCCTGCGTGTTCCTGCTGTTTCAGAGCAGCCCGTCTCCCGTGGCGGGAAGCACCAGGGAGCGTGTCGTGGTTCTGAAAGCTGAATTTCCATTATTGGCGTTCAAAGAGACCCAAGTACGAAGCTTCTCTTGTTCCTTTCATCTCGGAGCGTGATGCTATTACTCCTTTATGGGTCATGCTGTATACTTGTGGCAGATTATTTTTAGGACTGTAATTGCTTTCTCAGCTAATAGGAATTGATGCAATTACCCCATTTTTTAAAAGACTTTTTCCCCTGTTCATCTTCCAGTATGTGCCTTTTCTGCTCTGCTTTTCATCCCGTGGGGAATTGTGAAGGGAATGCAGTACTGTGCTACAGAAAACTAATCTCTTGGAGGTTATTTATCAGGCACAACTTGTTAACTTTGTTCCTTTTCTGAGGCAAAAACAGAAATGAAACATTTATTTGGTCAACAAATAAAAACTTAAATGAAAGTAAGGGTGAGAAGGTAAGATGCCAGGAAAGTGTAGGCCTCACTCTGCGCTGGCAGAAAAAATACTAATCCTTGGCATGAATTTTCAAAGTTGGAGTCAGTAAATGAAATGGTGATAAAACGGGGTCTCCTCTCAGGTTCTTTATTCACTCCCTGACAGGAGAGGTTGGGAATGCCACAAAGTGACACCCTTTCACAGGAACACCCTTTTTCTCACTTTGGTTTTTGATTTTCTGGATGGATCCAGGCAGTCCAGTCCTTAACAGCGGAGCAACTGCAAGTGCTTTTCTTTCAGGGAATTTCTTCTAGGACTTGCAGCAACTGAATAGATACAAACTTGCATGCAGAAGAATCATAGATTATTTGTGGATTTGGTGTATATGAAAGATGGCCAGGCCTGCCAGGTTGGGAGAAAACCAGAGATTGACTCAATCTGAATGCCAAGGTCCCTTTCACTCAAGAGAGTCCCAATAACTTACTGGTTTCTTGCATATTTGTTCTTTCATTGTTTCTTCCCTACCAGTATTCTTGGCAGTATACGTTTCCATGGTGGATTTCTATCTTGCTTTTTCTTTGCTTAATAAAAGAGAGGCATTTGTAGCATTTTTTATCTTTTTCTTTTATGTATTTGCTTTAAAGTTATTCTTTTATAACTTCAAAAACTATTGATTTATTTTCCCCGTGCCCAAAAAAGAAACAAACAAGTAGGCCATACGCAGATGAACCACATACCTGTTTTCAGTAATGCATCGTAAATCACAAATAATCTTGTTTTCCATTTTTCAACCACCCGTGATACTGACTACTGCCAAGAGGCTTCTGGACCTAGCCATCTCACCAGTTTATATGGCAAACGCACTTCAATCCTACTGCACTATGTCGAGCTCAAGGCTGACACTACTAATTTGGTGTTTATGTACATCATTTCCTAGCAAAAATAAAAACAACCTCAAGAAGAAAAAAAAACTCACATGCTTAGCTTTTTGGCAAAGCTAAAATCCAAGAAACTTTTGAGTTAAGTATTATTAAACTGATCATTTTCACAAATACTAAAAATAATAGAAGGCACCTCGTAATCCCTTTGCTTACATTATCACATAGCAAAACACTAAGCGGCGCATCTTGTACCTTGACGTGGTTTCCACTAAGACTCCTCATTCCCAGTGTAGATGATAGGACTACAGTGACTGTGCTGATAACCGAGCTCTGGAGGTAACCAGTACCTAAAAAGAAATCCAAAAGATAAACCAGGGAACAGGCAGTCAAAGGGCATGTCCTTATGACACATGGCACCTGCAACACGGATACAGTCTTCTCTGCTTAAAGGATTTATATCCCACTTTTTTTTCTGTCTGTTAGATTAGTCTAATTCTGCTGCACTGCTAGCCTCTTTTTTCTATTTTATAGAAATGAGTAAGTTATATGGTGTGTTTTGCTGTTTTCTTCAGGCAACCTTTCAACAAAAGGTATTGAACAGCTGCTGAAGTTAGGCAGACTGCCCAAGAAACTCAGGGGTGGTGGAACTGGTCTTGAGATGGTATTTATAGAGCATGCGGAGGGCAACCTGGGTTGGTCCTGGCAACCCCACGCAGGACGTGAGTTTGTCAGCAGGGTCCTGGGCGCCGCAGACGCGCTGCCTGCGGCGCTGGGACTGGGTGCCCGGTGGGTTGCTTGGTCACCACGTGCACTGCAGAGCCTGCGCTCACGCCCTGCGGCTGCTGCCCGAGCTTCCTGTGCTGTAAAGACTGCTTTGCCAGGTATTAGGTTATAAGGGATACCTCAGAAACTGATTATGAGGGAGACACAGAAGCCTCATTTTAGAGAGAGGCACTATTGTATAAAACCTATTTTATCATATATTTGCATATAGATGGTAGTACATTGATTCTGTATGTTCTTTATATACACATATAGATATCATTATCAGTGTATATTTAGATACATAAAGGTGAATATATTGTACCTTTTTTAAATGTCTTTCACTAACCTTTCCATATATCAAATATACAAAGAAATAATTCTTACCTGACTTTCTTTGCCAAGTGATCTGCTTCAAAGTATTGAACTTCCTTATTGCTGAGATGTATAATATTCTACATAAAAGCATCCGATAGAGCTAAACAAATACTTGAATTAACCGTGAGAAATTACTGCAAAGAAACATCCTGAAAGAGATTTTTTTAAAAAATAAATGATGAAGGCAAAAATACGGACACTATAAAATACTCATATTGTCAGCAAACAAGGAGAAAATGTTTCATTTATAGAGCTAGACAGAAGCAATATAGGAAATAGATATGCTCCATGCAAATTTATTAAGTGCAACTTTCTCTCTCTCTCTCTTTCTCTCAGATAAAAAACCTCTTCATGAAATAAAATCCCAAAGTAAGTTATTTTTTTTCTCTTGTAAATATGATTTTTCTCATCTTCTCTGCCATTCTGTTTTATTTGTTTAGGAGCTAAATAAAACTGAAGGTTATATGAAAGGCTTTCACATCTACTCAAAGCATCATAGCAACTCTGTGATCGTAGCTTTTAGACTGGAAATAGAAAAGTGACCGTTCTTTAATAGTTTGTGTCTGACTGGGAGCCCTTTCTACAGGAATGCTTATCTTGAAAGTGATCTCTTGAGGACTTGTAATTGGAAGAAAAAAGAAATTAATACAGGAGTTTGGCTTTCTTGGTTCAAATCTGGTTCCACTACTGGCTCTGTCTGATCTTGTTGAGCTCCCTTCAGCCTTCGGATCAGCTGGTAAAGGGTGTTTCTGTGCTGTACCCTGTGAAGAGGACACAGGTGTCGTTTCTGTACTGCTTGGGGGGGCCTCGCTCCTGCACTCTTTGTTTCTTAGTCCTCCATTGACTGCAGGGTCGCTTTAGTTTGGAATGCACTGACTAACTGAAAGATTTCATTAAAAAAAAGGAAGAAAAAGACACAATTTCATCAAAACCACAATTTCCATGAGGCGAATGTTTTAAAGAGAAGGCATTGCTTTTTGCTTTCGTAAATTGTACAAAGTTTTGAGGATTTTTGACTGCTTGATTTTCAACAAAAAATTGTCTCTGAATTTTGACAAATAGATTTATAAGCACATTTTTGGCTTAATTCCTTGGAAGAACTTAAAATAAGAATCCACCTGTACTGAGAAGTAACATACAATTGTTTATGTCTTCTTTGAAGACAGATTCTTCCATTACGTATTACAAAATACATGGCTTTTAAGTCTGAGTATTCCTCCAGGATATACAGGCATAGGGCAACCAGATGATTTGAAATTTTATGGAATCTGGGCCCTAAACCATTAAGAAAACATTTGCAAATCCTAACCTGAACTGTATTTCTTTTGAGCTCGCATGCCGTAGACTGCAATGTCAAACCATTCTGCAGCAAGGTTTCCGGCGGGCTGGAGGCAGCCGGTTGGGCTGTCAGCTCGCAGAGCGTTCCCCTGTCCCACAGACCGAGAGCTGGGAAGGAACTGGCCAAGAGCAAATCCATGTTACCCACAGACAGCTTCGTAACTATTTACAAAGGGACAGAACTAAATTGCAGCAAAAATGTGATGTAATAAAAATAATAATTATGGAGGAGCACAGTTATTGTCCAAGATGGCTCTTGGTGAGTTAAATGTGTTTGGCTTTTAAAAGCTTTTGGTTTTTAATATGGTGTAGTTATGTAGGGTGAAGGATAGCTACCCAGCTTCACCCATTAAACGGTTCCAAATGTGTGGAAAGCTTGCATGAGAATATTTCTCCTTTACATTTCCAGTTCTTAAGTATTTCTAACGATACACAAAATCAAATTTAGGTAGCTCAAAAATGTGTCATGGTTGCCTTGGCTGCTTACGCGTTTTTCATTTTGTTTTGTCTTAGTCTCACTGGAATCATGTCCTGACTGGTCACGTACAATTGGTCTGTGTCAGAACTTAGCTCAGGCAATTGATACGGTTCTGTTTGTTCATCTGTGCAGTTCCCATTTAATTAGAGAATCTGGAAAGAACATCAGTCAAATCGTTTTATTTTCTGATTTATTAAAAAAGTAACTTTAGTGGAATTGATTTTAACGTATATGATACCTAGGAGAATTAAAGGGTTTCTTTTCAGCTGTGGGGTTAGAGACGCACAATACAGCTTGTTGCTCGTCACCGAAACAGGAGCGTAGTTTAAGACTGCGTGAATCATCAGTGATGCAAAATCAAAGTTAATTATGAAGAAAATTGAGAGACACCTGGCTCTGCTAAATAAACCCTTACGTGTTTCTGTGACTTTTGATCCTGGTTCTCGGAGACTGGCTGTATGGAGACATGGACTTCAAGTTGCTGAAGTGTACCAAAAGTCAGAGTGGCGGAAAACTGGGGCAGGATGGGAAGCTGGAGAAATCTTTCAGATCTCCCAGCAAGCTCTAAAGGTAGACGGGGGGAAATGTATGCCCTGCGTAGCTCCTGGAAAGCACTTCTTGTAAATGAGATAATTTAATCAATTACATTTCCTAATGTACTAAACCAAATGTTTCATTTTCTGCTCCTGCACATCTTAAATTATCTTCAGGTGCTTTATGAAACTTAATCATAGTTAATAGAAACTTCATTACCATCAAATGTGCTTTCAATAAATGTTGTGTAACAGTGTCGGGGGGTGGAGTGAAATATAGGCTACAATTACCTCAAACATGTATCCTGTAACTGAAATGTATAAAAATTGTAGTGCTTCACCAGAGTCCCTACGTCCGCTGGGCTGGGAGGATGCAGTTCATTAAATAGTAACTTGTTGACTATTAATGTTTTCTTTTTTAGTTTGTTTGGTTTTCACTTTGTTCCCTTTTGGGAAAAAATAAAAGCAGAAGATTACCCCGTTCCCCAGACTTGCCATGCTTTTTTCTTTTAATTTCTAGTCTGCTATAAACAGAATTATCCATAAGAAAAGATAGAGAGGGGAAGAGATTATTTTTGTACTTATTCTTTATTATTTTATTGTTATTACTTTAAAAAAAAAGTGTTTGTTTCTGAAGAAATACTGACATCCTAAATAAAAATGCAAGTCCCCTTTCTTAAGCAGTTGTGCTTCATAGGAACAATTCAAAGGAATACCACGCTGCTCTTGTTTTGACTCGTTTAAGATAAAGCTATGGAAAGATCTGCTAAATTCTGATGAGAGCATCCTTCTCCCCTGGACTCTGTGTGTGTGTTACTTCAGGTTTGCAGGTTGGTTGTTCCCCCTTGCAATGGAATAGGAAGGGGAACACCTGCGTAACTCTGCAGGTCTTCTGTGAAACAGAACACTGACCATCTTAGTGAAGAGAAGGAAATTCAGAACGAATAACTGTAAGAGTTTTTAATCATAGGATTGATAGAAAAATGTCAAATTCAAGTTCTAGGGATACTTAAAAGCAATCACTGAAAACAAAATTTTTCTCTCCAGAAAATATTTGCTTGAGTCAGAGTTTTCTTTTTTTAAATTCTGTATTCTTGCTCTCATCTTTAATCTGTGTCCAACAGTCTTGTGCAGTTATAAAAGTGTAAAACTTAAATCATCTGACATCTGAATTGATTGAAAAGAAGAAGCTGAACTATTTAAGTAGATATTCTGGGTTTGATGGTGAAAGATCAATTATATTTGCTACCTGTTGCCATTATGGTGGCAGTACTTTTTTACTGATAGGTTTTATCCGGATGTTTCAGACTTTATTATCCCAAGAAGGTAGAAGAGGTAATTTGAATTTTCAGCACTTTTCTATTTCGAAGTCATGATCAAAATGGAAGACTTAAGGATGCTTCATGGTGAAATGACTACCCCCTCAGTACGGTTCTCTAGAAAGGAAAAGAACCCACTCGCTGTTGGGTTTCTTCTGCCACTGCAGATCTATGGAATTCCTTCCCGTAGCTTATTCATTGTACTCATTACCCACAAAAATTAAGTCAACAGTAGTGTTGCATAATTAATTTTCTGTAACAACAAAATAGCTTTGGAATAGAAAATTGGAAGAAATAGAAATGTAATTAGTTTCTGTACTTTTCTTTCTGCATCTGATCCTAGAGAATAAAATGGTGGTAAACCAGTACGTGATTCAGGCACTGGACTGGGACTCAGGCAGTCCTGGTTTGATTCCAGGTATTTCCACAGTCGTCCTTTGTGAACCCTGTCCTTTTGCATTTACTTTTCCCATCTGGAATAAAAGAATATGGGCATCGCCCATTGTTGGTCCAACACATTATATTGTCAGTGAACAGCTTACTTCCTAGAGTGCCTAGCTTTGAACTCAAAATGCTTAAAATTCTCTTTAGAACATTTCTCAAGTGGGCATCTCATGGAAAAAAAGAGGCTTCAGAAAAAAAATCTTTTTCTCTAATAATTTATTGAGTAGAACTGTGTGACAATTGTAATGTTCTCAGAAGCTGGATAAGAATTACTGATAAGTTGATTCAGTTGTGATTACCTGTTGTGACATGCTGCGGCAGATGGATTCTTCTGAAAGGTGCTATATGCATGGAAATGGGATTTCGTGTGTGTGTCCCCGTGCTTCTATGCAAGTTCTAAACATGTTAAAATCAGAAACCTTTTTCAATATGAGATTATTTGAAAATTCATATTTTTCAGCAGTATTTTCTGGGCTAAATAGCGGTCTTAGTAAAACTGATTTCAGATTGTTTATTTTGGTTGAATGGGATGGTGCAATGTTGTATTTGGGGTTGACTGGGAACAGTTTGAGAATGGGGATGGAAACGGTGTTTTCTGCAAAGGCAGTCTGAGCCAAACAGTTTATTTTACTTCTGATTCAGCTGCCCAACTAAAAGATATCAGTTACACTGCCTTATTCGCAGCGAATCTCCCACGTGCTCCAGCCCACTTAAAGCAGCGTTTACGCCCTCGGTTGCCTTGCTGCTGCGATTCGAACGGCATTTCTCTGCCTGAGAACGGCCGGTCCTCGGCCCTCGCCGGTGAGAGCCTGCCCAGGCACTTCAGCGGCTTGGACTGATAGTTGGCAGACATTTAGTTTACATAAGAAAATGGTGCACCAGGGAAATTAGCTTTTCTGATGCTGCCCATAGGTACTCATTTCTCTCAGTGGTCTCAAGTTTCACGTTAATTTTAAAAATTCAGCTAAAATAACTTTCTGCAGAAAAACATATGCACAGCAGAAGCCTCCTCCCAAATACTAATTAAGTAATTTCAGTAATTGGCTGTTTATTAAATGCTTTATTTTGACTTCCTACTCTATTTCTGTACATTGCAGTTTATTTACTGATACTGAGTAGTCTGGATTTCCTAGTTATTTTTTGTCGCTGTCATTTTTTATAAATAAATGCACTTTCTGTACCAAGTGCTTCTCACTTGATAGCAGAAGCACGACATAGTAGGATAACAGATGATGTACAGGGTGAATACATGATTATCTCTTCCTCTAAACTGGAGTTTGGCATTAAGGAACTATCGAAGGACCCACTAACTGTACTTGCCAAGTAATTTAATTTCATGGTACGTGGTCGCAAATCCCAGAAGATCTAGAATAGCGGGACTGGATAATTCAATTACATAATATTGCAGATTTCATTTGGATTCATTCTTTCAAAGCAATGAATTATTTTTCTCTGCTGTAAAAGTTTGAAGTCTTAGAAAACTTGGTCGTAAGGTTAACGCGTGGGTGTGATCACAGGGAAGGTTTGGTTTCCAACCCGTTTTTAAAGACGGAAGATGCTTGCGGGAATCCAAGAAGCTATGTGGGATCTCCTCAGCCGTGAGAGCTGCGCTGTCAGACGACGGACTGTTCCTTCTTATACTAGAGCTCACACAGAATATAAAGAGGGGGGGAAGGGGAAATCTTCACTAAGATTTTTCAGAGTATTCATGACCTCCTGGATTGGATCCAGAATTCAAACCTAAATCTTCCATGTCCCTGGAAGCTAGCAAAGGATGAGGCCATGCTGATAGCTAAAGCAGCCCTCCCTAGCTGCAGTTGTTCTGCATCCTCCCTCTAAGGGCTGTATTACCATACCTTAATGACCTCCGCTGGGCTGGCATGGGAAGCGATGGCATACCTCAGCAAGGTGCCCACGCTGGCAAGGTGTGCTGATGAGAGAGGAGGCTACTTAGTGGTAAGTGCTCTGCTTCTGACTGTTACGAGTCCAGCTCTCCTGTTTAAAAAAACCTGAAACGATGTAAGCTCAGCTATGTGGAGTGATGCATCGGGAAATTTGCTCAGGCTTTCAAATGCTTGCTTCTCGGTGTTCCTTTGTGCTCCACTATCCTGCTGTGATCTGCTCCACGTTCATGTCTCGAGCTTTACCTCCTTGGCCACGTGTCGGTGGCCGCCTGTGCTTCCCTTTGCTCATGGCCAGCCAGCGCCAGTCAGAACACTTTCACGAGTGTTGCTGACCTGGCACCCACTTTTTCTCCTTTCAGATATTGAGACGGCCAGTGACATTGCCTTGTACTCCGGCCTGGGAGCAGCAGTCATTGCTGTAGCTGTGCTGGTGGTTGGCGTTACCCTTTACAGACGGAGTCAGAGTGAGTACGGCGTGGATGTGATTGATTCATCTGCACTGACAGGAGGCTTCCAGACATTTAATTTTAAAACAGTCAGACAAGGTTAGTGTTGTGATTTCATTTTCTTCTCTCCAGAGCTCCTACTGCAAAGAGATGCTAGGCTCATGCTCAGTGACCGGCTGCGGGAGGGCATTCTAGCTTCACGCTGAGCAGATGCGCTGAGAGCCAGGGCAGCGTAGCCGCAGTACACAGGACGGGGTCTGGTGGTTACAACTGTCTCTCGCTGTCTCTGATTTGTCACGGCAGCTGGGACAAATATATAATCTTTCTTGACCACGCTCGAAGTGCTTTAGAATATTGTCACTAGCTTCTACACTGACGCTGGTCACTTACAAAAAGCCAAACAAACCAAACCAAATAAACCAAACCCAACCCAGAAGGCGTGTCTGTAGTTGCTTCCTATTCAGTTACAGATCTTCTGTTTTCTTTACTCCAATAAAAGTGATTATTTTTTTACTTTTATTTGAAAAATCCAACTTTTAAGTATTTTTATAAGCTGCTGTTAGGGTGCAAACATCCACATTCTGAGGTCTGTGGGAAATAAATGTGTGTAAACATGAAATTATTTAAAAAAGAAAAACCAATAAACCACCAAGCTTCAGAAAGCCAGCAATACAGTAAGAGATGGAAGAAATATTTACTTTTACTACAAGCAGCACTCGGATGTTTTCTGGAATATTATTTCCTTTGGACAGAAAGGTGGGGAGAAATACAAATGGTGATTACTTTAAAATAGTATACTTCTTTAATTCTGTACTGACGTTCTAAGATAGAGACCTGCCTTATTGTGGGTGGGTGTGCTGGTATCCCCATGTCTCCTCTCTTCAGAAAAGTGAAATATGTTACAGAGTTTGTTGCTTTGGGACTGGGAGTGGTGGGGGTGGTGTTTTTACAGATACTTATTTTCTGGGAGAGATTCCTCACTGAGCATAAATTGCAAGAAATAGAAAAAAGGGCTTGGTAGACAAGGATGTCTGAAGGATGTTTACTCATTCATTTAAAAATGCAAGCCTTTAATTAGCGTCATGTAATTCTCAATGGCTGTCTCAAATAGTAACTTTTTCCTTTGTTGTTCAGTTTGCCATGAAAGTCTTGTTTTGAGTCTGGGGAATTGTTTGTTTGACTTAATGTTTCAAAAAAGTTAGTACTAGACACTCTGAAAGTATTGGAGTGTGCCAATTTCTCCTATGCCAGGATGCTATTAGTTCAGTTTCAGTTACTTTGGGTTCTCTGTCTGTGGGGTTTTTAAATAAGAGCATTTGTAAACTAAACAATTCAGCTGCAAAGGCCAGTTCTCTGCTCAGGGTGCTGAGAAGATAGAGCACAATGCTGACATACGGACAATGGATTAGAGTGATCCAAGTTTTATTCACTGGAGAAATGTATTTAGAAGGTTACCAACCCAACCTGCAGTCCCTTAAAGTGATTGAATTTCCGTGATGTAGTACAGATAATTTCTAGAAAACCAGTTACTTTGGAAGACTTTTATTTACTGAATACCAACCAACCAAACCCCCCCACAAAAACAAACAAAAAAGACCAAACCAGCTAAAGGATTCAGGCCCTAAATCCATTCATTCCTTCTCTTTTTTTCAGAGCGTTTTCTGAGCTAAAATGCTCCTAAATAAATAACGGTGGTATTTTTCCCCTCTATCACTCTTGTCCCACTTTTTTTTTTTCAACCCAGTTTCCCTTGGGCATGAAGCCATCGTTTTGTTTAAGCTCACAGAAAAGGTCTGCAGGAAGAAGTGTTTTCACCCAATGGGTTTTAAGTTAAAAAAAAAAAAAAGGGCAGAGAAAGAAAGAAGGAATATACACAAATGTGAATCCAAACCCAAAC